AATACATCAGGGAGGAGTTTATTCCAGGTTGTAACCTGCACTAGTACGAATTGATTCTCCTAGCATACATGTCTCATTTTTGTAAGGTACATTGCGGATTTCGAATCAACTGTGAAAAAATTATGGTTCAAACAATTCATCGTGCTTGCACAGGCGTCTTGAAAGTGCTGTCCAAGGCTTGTGTAGTCCTGTTAGCGAGTACTGCAACTTGAATGACAAACGCCGAGGGAGGGAAATGAGGGAGCCATTGCCTCATCCAATCAGAGAGCGGATGCATCTGGTTGTCGTTTGTCGTGTTGCAATGATTTGGCTATTTTCTCTGACAAGGGGTGATCGTGTGTAATGGGTCAGCATAAACCAGTACAAAGCAAGGGTGTGAGTGGGTGGGGTTTTTATCCTCTGCAGTCGAAACACTAAACGTCGGCGGAATTTCCGGATCCCTTGGAAAGCTCAGCCAAACCCTGCCACAGATTTTCCACACTCGTGCCGCGGTTACTTGGCAGGCGTGCGACAAACCTGGCGACGCAAACACATTCGTCTCCCGATCCACTTACGGATGGTTCACCCACAACTTCTGCGCGGGGAGAGGTGCGGAACATCGAAGCGCGAGAGCATTGCCAGCGCGGAACCTCCCTCCCGCTCGCTGGGTCCTCCTGACGGGCAGGTACGACTGTTCCTCTCCCTCGAGCCAAACCAGTCGCACAGCGATTCAGCGAAGTCGCGAACACATACGCCAAATTCCCAGCCACTGCAGGCAAACTTGCTGCCCCCAATTTCATCTGACACGGTGCCCACGTGCTCTCTCCTCACTGGCTGGCAGCAGACCGAGCCAGCAAAGCACAGAGGTTTGTGCTGCCCCTTTCAGGCCCCGATCAAGTTGGGGAGAGCAACGGAACACTGGCAGATTCGCGCGTGGAATGGTCCAGCAAGGAGGAGTGGGGAGAAAAATCTTGTGGTGCAGGGCAAAGGGGAGCGGAAGCTTTTGGGGGGAGATGGTGGAGGAGGTGAAGAAGAGGGTCACAGCTGCAGTCAGGGGGGGAGGTTTTCGGGGGGGGGGATGGACTCGGGGAATTTGGCGGCTGAGTGAAACAGTAACGGGCGGAAAGGAACCAACTGTTCGCTTGGCTTGGGGAAAGCGAGTGAGGAAGAGAAGAGAGACCAGGCCTGCGGCAACAGCAGGAGCAGCAGCAGCAGAAATACATATCGCTTGTGCTCTTCCCGCCGTCCGTCCGTCCGTCCCTCCCTCCCTCCCTCCCTCCCTCCCTCCCTCCCTCCCTCCCTCCCTCCCTCCCTCCCTCCCTCCCTCCCTCCCTCCCTCACTCCCTCCCACCCACCTGTTTTCCCTCCATCTCCCCACCCCACCCATCACCATGAGTCTACAAATCATCCAGTGTTGTCCAGCCCGCTGATGTTGTGCCCAGCCGCATCTGAAAAGCCCGCGGACCATACCACCATTTCTAGCGGTCTTTCCCTCGTGAATCGCTGGGACATTGTACCACATAGCAATCGCATCATCATCATCATCATCATCATCCATCCAGACTTCAAACTCTCTTATCCCCGCGTATTGCCATGTAGGCAGCGTCATAGTTCACTCCAAGACCGCTGCTCCCTCTATTCTACTAATTGCTCCAAATTCTCGTGCGAATCCAGTGAGCTCGCACCCTAGTAACCTGATCGATCCCTGGCCGTAAGGCAAATCCCCCGACTTCCCGCGTCTCGCCAGCTCAGCGCTTCTTTTCCCGCACGAGATTCGACATTCCAGACTGAGTGGCAAACCGAGAAGCCATGGCAGGCTGTGACGGCCCCAGACACCGCCGCAGAAGTCGCAAATCGTGGCAAAGTATGCACCACGCCGTGAATCAAACAATCTCAGCATCAGGCGGCGCTACATCGGCCGTGCCGTCCGCCGCATCGCCCGCCCTGATCTGCATGGGTTCATCCGTCAATCACAGGCCGTCAGCGCCTACACCTGCATCAACGGCGGCAACGGTCGGCCTCTCCGCCTCCCCCGCCGCCTCCGCCTCCGCCTGCTCGTCTTCCTCCGCCGCGACCCTTCCGCCGCCCTCATGCGCCTCCTCCACCGCCTCCCCGCCCTCTTCCTCCGCTTCCGCTCCGCCGACAGCCGGCGCAAGCGCGTGCTCCGCCGCGTCGGGCTCCGCGTCCTGGTCGACCTCGGCGTCGCCGTACATTCAAGCGAAGCACTATCAGGTACGCCGTGCACCCTCGCCGTGCACCCTCGCCGTGCACCCTCACCGTGCTCCCTCACCGTGCTCCCGCACCGTACGCTCTCATCTGCACTCACCCCGTGCAGTATCACGAGCAGCCAGTATCCCAACCGTCTCTCCGCCGTGGAGCTCGCGCATCCAAGAGCCGTACTCGGCGGGATCGCTCCTCTCCGCCGTATACCCTTCGCCTCCCCTGCATGTCCCTAAGGCAGTGCGGCAGTGCAGGCCGGCCCCCCGTGCTTCCTCGTGCCTTGGTGTCGTCTCGTGTCGTAGGACCGTCGCTCTGGCATGAGTCCCTCCTCCTGCCGCCTTTCCCTCGCCATGTCTCGCGGCTTTCCCCGCTCGCAAGAGCTGTCCGGTCGCCGCGTAGCAGATACCCTGCCTCGGCGCCGCGCCAGAGGACCAAGGGTCGACTCACTATGAGGAGGAACAGACGGGTAGAAACGTGGGCGAGCTCTCCGACCAGTGCCCTTGACTGCAATCGCCGGTTTGCCACCGCAAGCGCTGGTCTCTCGAGCGCTTTCCTTCGTCGCCCGTTCGTTTTCCTCCCGTCCTTCTCCTATCTGGCCCGTTCCCCCCTCCGTCCCTCCGTCTCCTGCGTCACCTATTCACTTCCACGTCATCCTACCCGCTCATCCAATCTGTTATAGTCTGCCTCAACCCCGTGCGCCATTCTCTGCACCCCTATGCACCCCTATGCCCCCCTCTGCACCCCTCTGCTCTCCTCTTCTACCCCTTCGCAGCTCGTGGGCAAGGACCCCGACCGCGCCGTGCAGCTCTTCTCACAGGCGATAGCCTCGGGCGACCGCGTGGACAGCGCGCTCAAGGACCTGGCGATCGTGCTGAAGCAGCAGAACAAGGCGGACGCCGCCATCGCCGCCGTGCAGCAGCTGCGCCACAAGTGCTCGGACGCGGCGCAGGAGTCGCTCGATAATATCCTGCTGGACCTGTACAAGCGGTGCGGGCGCGTGGAGGATCAGATCGCGCTGCTGAAGCACAAGCTGGATCGGATTCGGCTCGGCGTTGCGTTCAACGGTCGCAAGACGAAGACGGCGCGGTCGCAGGGGAGGAAGTTCCAGGTGTCGCTGGAGCAGGAGGCGACGCGGCTGCTGGGGAACCTGGGGTGGGCGTACATGCAGTGCACCAACTACAAGGCGGCGGAATTCGTGTACAGGTAAGGTGCACGCCGTGTGTGTGGTGGACGGCTCGTGCCGTCCCTTAACGTGCCGTCCCTTAACGTGCCGTGTCTTCGTGCCGTCTCTGCTCATTCTTACGCCACGCTCGCTAGCTCTCTCCATTCCCCCCCTCCCCCCCCCCTTCCCCCACCCCCGTCCCCGCCTCTCCGCGCTTCCCCAGACCCCCGCCCACTTCCCTTCACTTCCCCCACTCTCACTTGCTCGCTCGACGCCACCAACCCTCTCACACACTCATTCCTCCTCGCCGTGCCGTCTCCCCCGTCTCCCCCGTCTCCCCCGTCTCCCCCTTTCCGCGCTTTCTCCGCGCGCGCAGGAAGGCGCTGCGCATCGAGCGCGACAACAACAAGCTGTGCAACTTGGCGCTGTGCCTGCTCAAGCAGCGCAAGGTGCGCGAGGCCCGCCGACTTCTGCTCTCCGTCACCGGGCCCAGCGGCGCCAACGCTGACCCGCACCACTCCCACAGCAGCAGCGGCAGCAGCGGCAGCAATGATGCGGATGGTGCTTCTGCTGTTGCTGCAGCTGCCGAGTCTGCCGATGCCACCACTGATGCTGCTGATGATTCTGCTGCCGCTGCTGAAGCAGCTGCTGTTGATGCTTCTGGCGGTGTTTCGGAGACTTGTTTGGAAGAGTCAGCGGCGTTTGAAGACAAGGCAGAGGCGCAGATTGAGGAGGGTGGCGGCATGACCGACGCCAGCAGAGGCAGTGGCAGCGGAAAAAACAGCAGCAGCAGCAGCAGCAGTGCCTCAGATTCCCACATGAAGGTACTTTACTTGAATGCCTTTTTCCTTGGCTCCCCAACCCGCTGAACCTGCTGAAGCTCAAAAGGTCTTTTTCTCGTGCTGAGTTACCATTTCCTCGTGTTGGAAACGAAACATGCCATGTGCTAACGTAGCCTTCGCCATGCGCGCGTGTTGGTTGTCCCCTTCTCCCCTTCTCCCAGGCCCTGGATCGCGCGCGGGAGATGCTGCGCCTGCTGGAGGACGACGCCGCGTCAGGACCGGCAGACGAGGACGACGAGCAACAGCAGGAGGAGGGGGAGGATCGAGGCGGTGACGAAGAGCAGGAGGCTCCCGCTGGAAGCGGAAAGGGGAGCGGAAGAGGGAAGGCGGGTGGTGCGCAAGAGGGTGGCTCGGATGACGGTGAGCGGAGCGCAGAAGAGGGTGGCGCGGAAGAGGCCGCGGGAGAGGGCGCGGGAGAGGGCGCGGGAGAGGGCGCGGGAGAAGAGGAAGAGCGCACGGCGACGCTGCAGGAGCTGCTGGGAACGGACAGCACGTGGGACTCGCTGCTGCCCCTGGGACACTCTCTCCACGCCTCGCCCTCTGCTGCTCCCTCTTCCACCGCTGCTGGTGTGACCGGTGCTGGCGGTGATGACAGCGCGGCGCACGGCACCCACAGGGCGGGCTCAGGGTCTGAGGGGAGCAGAGAGCAGCTGAAGGGTAAGCAGCAGCCGCAGCAGCAGCAGCAGATGCACTGGCAGGGGCAGGGGCAGCAAGGAGGTGCTACTCGGGACAGCAAGGCTGAAGAATCCGATCAGGACAAGAAACAGCAGGGTGGTGCGCAGGCGTGGAAGCACCATCACCAGCAGCAGCCACAGCCACAGCCACAGCAGCAGCAGCAGCAGCAGCAAGGTGGGGGAGGCGGCAGGCGAGGGAGTGGATGGGGATCGAGACGTGCTCCTCGAGCGTACAGCTGGAGTGCTCAGCCATGCGGCAGCAGCAGCAGCGGTAACGCCCCCTCTTCCACCACTGCAGCTGCGGCTGCAGCTGCTGCCGCCGCTGCTGCTGCAGCGTCTGGGGCAGCTGTGGCTGGTGTTCCGGTCTCTCCTCTTGGCTACATGATCCCGCCCATGCTTCCGCCCTCTATGCCTCTTGGCAGTGCTGCTGCGGCAGCCTCCCTTGGCTCGTCCATGCACCTCATGATGCCTGCATCCCCTGCCGCTGCTGCTGCAGCTGCTGCCGCCGCTGCTGTGGCGGCTAATGCTGCGGCTGCAGCTGCTGCTGCTGCTGCCTCGGGTGCGCCCTGCCCCAGGTTCTACCTGCCGTACATGTCTCTCATGCCTGGCCTGTATAACCCGTCCCAGTTTGGGGAGAGCAACGGCGTCGCACCCTCTGCTGCCACTACCGCAGCTGCTGCCGCCGCCGCTGCGGCTGCTGCATCCCGTGTGCCGCTTGCTTATGCGCGACGGCAGCAACAGCAGCAGCAGCAGCAGCGTCAGCCACAGGCGCTAGCGGCATCACTTCAAGACGGGTCAGCGAGTGGAGGCAAGGGAGGATTTGTCTCTGCCGGCGCAGCTGGTGGCGGCAGCTCCAGATGCTCTCAGCTTGGCTTGGCACCTACTTACCAGGCAACAATTGCAGCAGCAAGAGCCACCGGTGGTGATCGTGGTAGTCTTAGTGGTGTTGGGCGCACTGCCTCGTCACCCCCCTGCCCTGGTGCCTCCTCCTCTACTGTGCCATCTGCCATGAGGTCTCCTCCTGCCACTCACATGCCTTGGCACCTCCAGCATCAGCATCTGCAGCAGCAGCAGCAGCAGCAGTGGCAGCAGGAGGTGATGATGATGCAGCATAGTGACAACAGCCCTGCATGGATGCATGGGTCATACGGCTCATTGGACGACATGTATGCCCTTTCCGATACCACGCCCATGACATGCGATGACATGTCCATTGCACCATCGGAGCTCCATCACCCATGCCACCCCCACGTTGTGCAAACAGCCACCCCTCCTGCCCGCACCGTAACGTTTGACCTGCCCGAAACTCTGGACCTGGAGGAAGGCGAGGAGGAGCGGGAGGAGGCAGGGTCGGAGCGGCTGCTGGTGGCTGCAGCTGCGGCTGCGGAATGGAGGCAGACGAGGCTGGCTGGAATGGCTAGGAGCTCTGACATGGCTCTGGGGATGTATGACGAGGAGGAGTATGCTGCATTTGATGGCGATGCCGCTGCCGCTGCTGCCGCTGCTTCTGCTGCTGCTGCTGCTAGTGCCGCTGCCGCTGCCGCTGCCGCTGCTGCTGCTGCTGCTGCTGGTAGTGGTGGAGAAGATGCCTTCGCGTTTGATGGCCTGGAGGGGAGTGGTTCTGGGCGAACCATCAGCAGCAGCAGCAGCGCCAGCAGCGCTAGTAGCTGTGGGCGCGGCCGGGACTGGATCTGCGGGCGTGGGGAGTGGGGTGACGAGTCGGATGATGATGAGGAGGAGGCGGTGGAAGGGGTCGGGTATGCAGGCTCTGGATATGCAGGAATCGCTGCTGCTGCTGCCTCGCCTGCTACTTCTGCTTATGCTTCTAATTATGGTCTGTGTGGGGTTGGAGAGGAAGGTGTCTCTCTTCCGGTGCATGACGCGCCAAGCTATGCTGTCAATGCAAACGGCAGTGGCTCATACAACCCAGCCCACGCTGAGACCGCCAAATCGATGGTATTTTCGACTATTTCTGCTAAATCCAGCCCCCAGAGCGGGCCCATTTCGCCTGAGATTCGCTCCCAGCTGGGATGGTTCAACCAAGGGATCTCCCCTGACAGCACCAGCAGCAGCAGGAGCCTCAGCAGTTGCCCCAGCAGTGTTCAGATGAGCCCGAACCTGCTGCCATCAGCAGGTTGGGAGAATGCTGGAGTTCTTGCGCGAAAGGATGGTAACATCGTCGCTGACGGCACTGGCTGTGCTGACGACCTGGATCTCCTCTGTGGTTCTTCGGCGAAATTCGATTCGTCTGTGGGCGACTTGACGGGATCCGGCTACAGTTACAGCTTCGAATCTGTGGAGAGCGTTGTTCGCAACATCATTTTCGAGTCTCAATCGGACGGCACCGAGCGTTCTGCCGCCAACGGCCGGATTGGTTCGGCAGTCCCGACAGAGAAAGAGAGCAGTCGCCAGCTGACGTGGCGCGACGACTTTAACGGAGGTGGGTCGAGGCTGCCCGTTTTTGCACGGCTAGCGAGATGACGACCTGCTTGCATACAGCAAATACGCTTGTCCACATTCATACTGAATGTGAGCTGCCCTAAGGCAGCTATTCCATTCTCTAGATTTGTCAACATGTGTTGGTTTTTTGGGGTTACAAGCAATGCCCCAAAGATGTGCTATACTACTAGCTTTTATTTCTGAGCAGGATTGCTTACAAAGCGACCAACCTTGTGTGTTTTTGGGGGTTTAGATGTTTATCCATCATTAGTGCATTCCATTGCTGGTGTAGTACTACAACCATCTTGTCAGAAAACGTGAATAATTACTAGGAGAAACCTAGAACATATACCTGCTGGGTTGTACTCATTAGAAGCACACACCTAGTCTAGCCTATAACTTCTATATAGTACATATGTCAAACATGTGTATTTGTCATATTTGTATAGACTGTATAGGGTAGCCTCTTAGAGGGTACAACACTTAGGTATATCTGTGTGTACCCTCTCTCCAACATTATTCATTTCAATTTCTGATATGGTATCACGCGTAGGTAGGATCCCCCCCACCTACCGCTTCCGCTCGCCCCTAGCCCCGTCGCGACACCCCCTAGCCCCGTCGCGCCCCTTCCTGGGACCAGTCGCGCCCCTCCCTGGGCCCCGTCGCGCCCCTTCCCGGGCCCCGTCGCGCCCCTCCCAGACCCCGTCGTGCCCCTCCTGGGCCCCGTAGCGCCCCTCCTGGGCCCCGTCGCGCTCCTCCTAGGCCCCGTAACGCCCCTCCTGGGCCTCGTCACGCCCCTCCTGGGCTCCGTAGCGCCCCTCCTGGGCCCCATCGCGCCCCTCCCAGGCCCCGTCGAGCCCCTTCCAGGCCCCGTAGCGCCCCTCCTTGGCCCCGTCGCGCTCCTCCTAGGCCCCGTAACGCCCCTCCTGGGCCTCGTCGCGCCCCTCCTGGGCCCTGTCGCGCCCCTCCCAGGCCCCGTAGCGCCCCTCCTGGGTCCCGTCGCGCCCCTCCTGGGCCCCGTAGCGCCCCTCCCAGGCCCCGTAGCGCACCTCCTGGGCTCCGTCGCGCCCCTCCCAGGCCCCGTAGCGCCCCTCCTGGGCCCCGTCGCGCCCCTCCTGGGCCCCTGCAGCGCCCCTCCTGGGCCCCCCCGTCGCACTCGCCCGGCCCCGACGCACCAGCCCGGCCCCGTCCTGCTCGCCCGGCCCCGTCGCACCCGCCCGGCCCTGTCGCACCCTGCCCGGCCCCGTCGCAGCCGCCCGGCCCCGTCGCACCAGCCCGGCCCCGTCGCGCCCGCCCGGCCCCGTCGCACCGGCCCGGCCCCGTCGCCCCCGCCCGGCCTCGTCGCCCCTGCCTGGCCCCGTTGCGCTCGCCCGGCCCCGTCGCCCCGGCCCGGCCCTGTCGCACCAGTCCGGCCCCGTCGCGCCAGCCCGGCCCCGTCGCGCCCGCCCGGCCCCGTCGTCCTCGCCCGGCCCGGTCGCACCTGCCCGGCCCCGTCCTCCTCACTGGTACGGTTCCCCCCCACCCCGCCCTGCACTGCCCTGCACCGTCCCGTCACGCACCACACGGTACTGCCTTACACCGCACTGCACCGCGCTGCACCGCACTGCATCGCACTGCACCGCGCTGCACCACACTGTACCGCACTGTACCGCACTGCACCGCACTGTACCGCGCTGCACTGCACTTCACCGCCCTGCACCGCACTGGACTGTTCCTGATGGCGGCGGAGCTTCGCTTCGACGCTGAAGGTCAGCCCCTGGAGTTCGAGGCGTGGCTTGCCGACCTCCGCCGCCAACTCACTGGCCAGCGGCAGGATGGTGACCCGCTTTCTGCACACCTTGACGGTACGCTCCCCTGCCCAGACCCCCCTGCTATTCTGCCCGCTGACCCCACACCCACTGAGCGTGAGTCTACTGCTGCCACTGCCCGTGCGCGCTCTGTCTGGCTTTCTCACGATGCTGTCGCCCAGCTTGCCATTAGCAACGCCCTCCCCCCGTCCGAGCGTCCTCGCTTTAGGTCCCTCACTACTGCTCAGGCATACTTAGATGCTGTCATCAAGCGCTATTCCACCCCTCCGGCTGCCTCGGTGGGTCGCCTGATCCTCCCGATGCTCTTTCCTGACCTTGCTTCTTTCCCCACTGTCTCTGACCTCGCTGCCCACCTGCGCTCGATAGAGGAGACCTGGCGCGCCGCCTGCACTGACGCACAGCTTAGAGCCCACCAGCCGCCCATTACCTCTACCCTCTACCTGCTTGCCACCCGCCTCCCTGACCGCCTTGCTGTCGCCCGCGACCGCTTCCTTCGCCTTCACCCTGCCGACCTCACCCTCATTGACTTTGTAGACACCCTGACTGTGATAGAGACCCGTCACTGCTCCATCGCCCAGGCGAGCGGTGTCGTGCCTGTCCATATCTTTCAGGGTTGTGCCCCCGCCCAGTGTACCTTCTCCGACGGCTCTGCCGCAGTGGCTGAGACTGCTGCTGCAGCGCAGTTTCGTTCGGGGAAGGGCCGCCGCCCCAAGGTTGGGCGCGGCGGCGGCGGCGGCGGGGGTGCGGGAGGGGGTAGTGGTGGGGTCGGGTCGTCTGGTGCTGGAGCGGACGAGGGGACCCTGCCCAGTCCAGCTGCGCCGCCGCCCCTGCAGTTGCAGCAGCCGCAGCAGTCGCCGCAGTCGCAGCCGTCGCAGCAGCCGCCGCAGCCGACGCAGACGCGGCAGACGAGTGTCCTCCCGCCCGGGTGGCCCGGCGCTGGCGGTGGCCGGGCGCGTGGTGGTGTGCCGAGTGGTGGCTCTGGTGGCGGGCGTTGTCAGTACCAGATCCAGACCGGTCCTCGCCGCGGTTTCGTTTGCGGTAGGCTCGGTCACTCCACTCCCCGCTGTTTTCGTCGCCTGGATGACCTCTTCCGTCAGCGCTTCGGCCCGTCGCCAGACCTCCCGGACTGGCACAGTTTGCTTAGTCGTCAGATTCAGATCTTTGATATGGACATGGATGCCATTGTTTCTGCTCTGCATGTGATGTATGCTGATGACTCTAGTGTGCTTCCCGCTTATTACTCACTGTTGCCTAGTGTAGGTGTGCCTAGTGTACCCTCCCCTGCTGCGTCAGGCGTAGGATCCTCTCCTTTGTGTAGTCTTGGTGTTTCCGCCGTCGTTCCGTCGCCAGACGCCTCTGCTTCGCTTTCCTTCACCTTGGACTCTGGTGCTTCTCGGTGTTTCTTCCGCGACTCCACCACCCTGACGCCGCTTCCCGTCCCTGCTGACGTTTCTCTCGCTGACCCCTCTGGCGGTCCGGTAGTCGCCCGCAGTTCCACCACCCTTCCCTGTCCGGCGGTTCCTTCGGGCTCTCTTACAGGTCTGCATATCCCCTCGTTCTCCAGGAACCTAGTTGGTGTCGGCTGCCTCCAGGACCTTGGCGTCACCACTACGTTCCCTGGTCACGAGCGGTATGCTGTCTGTACCGAGGCCGCCACTGGTGCCCCCCTGTCCACGTTCCCCCGGGACCCGGTGTCCGGCCTGTTCACTCTGGACACCGTGACCCCCCCGGCTGGAACGCTCACCCAGGTTGCTGCCGCCTGCTCCTGTCGGTCCCTCACTCACCCGACCCTCCTTTGGCACCACCGCCTAGGTCACCCTGCGCTCCCGCGTCTGCGTCACATGTCCCAGCACGGTCTCATCCCCTGGCTTGTCTCTGCACGTGTCCACCGCGGTCTCCCTGTCTTGCGTCTTCACTCAGACCGTGGTGGCGAGTTTGCCTCAGGTGTCCTTGGTCGCTTTTGTCGTGCGGAGGGCATCACCCAGACGTTCACCCTACCGGACTCCCCACAGCAGAATGGGGTCGCTGAGCGACGCATCGGTTTGGTCATGGAGGTGGCTCGCACCTCCATGATCCATGCCGGTGCACCCCATTTTCTGTGGCCGTTCGCTGTGCGCTACGCTTCTCACCAGCTTAACCTGTGGCCGCACCCTCAGCAGCCGCAGGTTTCGCCGACCCGTCTTTGGACTGGGTCTCCTGGTGACGCGTCTGCGTTCCACGTCTGGGGCTGCCTTGCTCACGTCCGTGCCTCCGGCACGGACAAGCTCACTGCCCGCACCCTTCCCTGCGTCTTCCTCGGTTTTCCCCTTGACGCGTCCGACTGGCACTTTTACCACCCGCCGTCTCACCGCTTCTTTCACTCTCGTGACGTCACCTTTGACGAGTCCGTCTCCTACTACCGTCGCTTCCCCCACCGTGGTCCCCCGGTTACTCCCCCCCTGTTCCTGGTCCCTCCTTCCCCGGTAGTCCCTGCCCCTCCTCCTCCTCCTCCCCGTCCCGCCCCCTCTGGTGTTTCCCACGTCACCCCCCTTCCGTCGGTGGACCCGGTTGAGGAGTCTTCTGCCTCTGGTGGCCCTCCTGTGCAGTCCTCGTCAGACGCCCCTCCCCTGGCGTCCCCTCCCCAGTCCCCTCCTCCACCGCTTCTGCCGCCGCTGCAGCCGTCGTTACCGCCGCCGCCGCCGCCGCTGCCGTCGCAGCACCCGTTCGCTAACTCTGGGGGTGCTCGTCCTGGTAGCCCTGGGGGTGGTCCCTCTGGGGGTGCTGGTGTGGAGAGTGTCGGGGGTAGCCGAGGAGCAGCTAGCGGTCCCGGTGTCGCCGTTGTGCCGCCGCAGCAGTAATCCCCGCCGGTGTCAGCCCTTCGCCTGCTCGGCCTGCCGTCCCCCGACCCTGCGTCGGTTCCTCCCCGGCCGTCTCCTCCTCTTCCTGTCTACGGCCCTGTTTTCCCTCCGCCGGACTCGTCCCCGGCTCGTCTCCCCCCTCGTTCCCCTCCTGTGTCCCCTCCTCTGTCTCCTGACCTGACTCCTCCGTCGCACGTCTGGTCTCACCGTCCCTCCCGTGCTCGTCCTGCCTCGCCTGTCCTGCGCTCCCACCCTATGTTGCTTCGTTCCCACGCGTCTCTTCCTCCCCTTCTGCCGTCGCCTCCTCCGTCCTCCCTTGTTGTTGCACCCCCCCCTCTGTCTGACTACCTTCGTGCCGCTCGTCCTCTTGTTCCTCGGGTCCTTGCCTCTCTCGTTACCGACCCGTCTGTTCCGGTCTCGTGCCTTGACGCTCTTGTCGCTGCGGTCGCTGACTTCGCCTCTACCCGCCGCCTTGACTACGCCACCGCTCTGGTCTCTGACCCTGCCTGTCCTCCGTCTGTCGGGGGTGCTCCTGCCCTTGGCAGTGACGTCCTGGAGGACCGCCAGTTCGAGCTTGCTTTCTTGTCCGAGGCTGCTCCCCATCTCTATTCCATGCTGCTAGTCCCTGAG